CTAGTTTGGTTTAATCTTGATTGGTTTTTTGATTGAAACAGTTAAAAAATCTGAATCAGTAAAGGACCACCTCTCACTTTTTTTTATCGAGTAATGTTATAAAAAAAATAAGGCCTTTTTTTGTTTCAGACTCCAATTGAACCCATGGAGATTAAGACGCCAAGACAAAGCACAGGGAAAATCAAACGGACATCAGCCAAATCCACCACAGCAAACACACTCAAATTGATAGTTCAGTTTGTCCAACGAAAAAAAACTCCAAATGTAATGACCTAAGAAGATTCACTTTGTTTTTGTGAAATGTTTAAATACACTGTATTTGACTAATTAATTTGTTTTATTTACTAAACCTCAACTTCTTCATCAATAAAATTTCTATTGTGCCTATTGGGGTTTCTAAATTAGTTAAGTTACTCTTGCAAAATATATTTTGTTTTATTTCACACTCATTGTTTTTTAATATTATCATTCTTGCAATTCGGAACTTTAAGTTATTCAAAATCCTTAACTGTCCTTCAGCATTGGAATTGTGCAATGTAAATGTTTCACAATAATTATAATTGCCTAATGAAGATCTCAACTTATAGTGAAGACAGTCAAACGGTAACAGTGGTAAAAAAATAACATTTTTTAGCACTCTAACATGGATTTTTACATAGCCTAACTTGAAAGAATCAGAAGAAGTTTCAGAGGTTTACTGTTTTCATGCGTCTTGTTAATATCCTAAACTTAATATAATATTAGCTATTTTGAAATTTATTTAATTACCCTTAAAAAGGATGATTATAATCTAGTAAGGAATAACTTCTGGTATTGTGTCTTTAAAAGTCTGATATAACAAATTCAAGAATTTTGTAAATGTAGCCTATTTGTGAGTGAATCAGAATCATAGCCTATAGTAATAGGCCTTAAAATACATTCATGGTCATGCCTTAATAAAATAATATATTACTTTTATTTGCTTTTACATACAGTTCTGCAATGCTAACAGATTGTTATAATCAAAATTGTTTTAACTGTATTAAAAAAAAAAACTACATATCCTGTTACTTTTAGGTCATTAATGATTAGTTAGAAACGTTAAAGTATGATTTTTAGCCAGGATATATACTCTCTAGTTATAAAACAAAGGAATGCTTGCCATACTAGAATCTTGATTATAAATATGTTTAGAATTTTTGGCCCCAAGAACTGAATATGCAATGAAAACCTACTCACGTTCAGATGTTCAAATGCAATTTATCATGTAGATATATTACATGTATCTCTGAATTGTTGGCTATGTCAGGTAATTGTAAATAAAGACTAATATTAACAGAAATGTTATCACAACAAAACGCATTTATTTAACTTTTTTCAAGTAAGAACTCGAAGGTTGAACATGAGCTATCAGCCCATTTATTAACATGCAATTTTAAATTTCGCGCCAACTCCGGCCTCACGCAAACATGGCGGGCGTTTGACACGGCGGTGCGGTGGTGGGGGAAGGCGATGGTGGGTGGTGTTACGAGAGATACGGGTTCGTGTCGACGGCGAGCGCTTGTTCGCCAAACACCCTCCCTAAAGAGCGTACAGCGGACCTGCGAGCATAGGTCGTGGATTCGACCCGCAACGTGCGAGACAAAATAAAAGCGACAATAATATCAATCGAGTTGAGTAGCGACAGACGTAAGTGCTGCATTATACCCTTACATTATTAGTCTTATTTTCCCGTTCACTTTGGCGAGTAAAAGTAAATTTTCGTTCCGATAATCTTAGTTGTAAGAAATTAGCGTATTGTATTTCTCAGGCCGGCACTGCGAGTGCAGTGCCGCAGTAGCCTACACTTTTTAGTTTGTTTATCTAAAGTGGTTTTATTTTATTTTATCTAAAAGTATTTTATTTAGTTATATTTCGAAGCCAAGAAGTTCATTGGCATATTAGCGCTGACTCATTACATTTCGTTATTGGGTGAGGTGAATAAAAGGTAGTACTTGGTAGTACGTACTTCTTTTTGAAGTATTTACTCGGTTTTCGGTGAATAAACATGCTAGTTGATACTAGCCCCTAGTACAAACTATATCTTGCAGGTGAATAAAATGTTAGTTCGTACTACCCCTAGTACATACTTCGTCATTTAGGGAAAGTAGTATCTACTAGGCCTTTTCGGTGAATAAAAACTGGCTCGCATAGTAGTTACTTCATTTTTATGTAGTACGCTCATGGCATGCTTCCGTTTGGTCGTTTGCGAAGATGTCGATGTTTATACAAGTCCATAAAAGGAAAACGTACCTTGAAATAAGCAATATTGTAAACTGTAAGCAGTTACTGTGATTTGAGAATGACATTGTTGATTTGTTTACAAACAATTTTTTTCCTTCTCATTTCCTCCTATCAGATCTAAATTCCTGTATGCTTAGTCGGTTTATTTTCCTTAACATTCCTCTCCGTTTTTCTTCATTACATTTTTCATGCTATCTGTTAAAATCCTTACCAAGAGTTTTTTTTTTTTTTTGTATCATCTAACATTTTCTACATCGCCCTGTTTTCCCCTTTTTACGCCCGAAATTTTAGATTTCTCAAAGTAATAGAAATGTTTTTGTCGCAGCTCACTAATCACTACTGCCTTATCACCCCTTGCAATAACTGGTCAAATCGTCATCAAGCGCAGTTAACCAAATACTAGGCCTATTTGATCAACATGACTGAGAAAACTGCAGGCGCAGACAGAAATGGCAAACAGATGATCACCGCGTGCCAGTTGTGACTTGATTATGAGTACGTACTAGGGGGTAGTACGTACTAGGAGGGTAGTACATACTACATCATTTAGGGAACCCCTAGTACTTACTACCTAGTTCTAGCTAATTCTTATTCACATAGATTTGAGCAAGTGCTAGAACTACGTAGTACGAACTACGTAGTATGTACTAGTTTTTTTTATCACTTCACCCATTTTATTATTACGTGTGACGACATTTTATTTCACTACGAGAGTATTATTTTTAGTTTTTATTTGAGAAGCGATACCTTTTGTTAGGCCTAGAAGCTGGTCACGTATTTTAGTTCACATAGAAGCATCGTATTTAGTGCCGATATATTCCTAGTCAGTGCGTCGTTGTGCTGGCATACAACCATAGTATAGTATACCATAGTATAGTATGGCATACACCATAGAGTGCGTGTAGGACGACGAAGGTACCATCCACGGAGATCGAGAAGTGGTTAGCGAGCGACGGGGCTGTCAGCTAGAACCCTCTCGAGTTGTCTAGAATACTCTCGAGCTGTCCGAGCAGATCGGAGGTAAGTTTAGGCTAGGTTGACCCTACCCGAAATAAACACCTCACAAGTGTTTTCTGTTTCCCGTTTGAATGGTAAACACGGAGACAAGAGACAAAACTTTTGTCTCAAGTCTGCATGTGTGGACGTGTCTGGAGACAGGAGACTGGTAACAAGCCGAAGGTGTTCAACATTCAGCCCATTTAGTTAGACTGTAAAGTGGTAATATTACAAATTTTGGGCGGTATTAAAATAGATGGATTGAGTTTCTTGAAAGTTTTGGAATTAGTTTTCAATGATTTATATTATTACTAGTTGTAACCCGCGGGCTTTGCCCCGTTTAACTTCTTAAATTTCAAGATTATCTCGTTCGCATGGCTCAATCACGTCCTGGTTGAAGTTTGTTCGCTACGCTCACTCACCTTTAGGTTGGAGACCAACAAAATCAAAATCTTTAGAAGTTAACCTCGTTTTAAAGTTCCTAAATCCTCCACCTAATCTGAAGGTGTGATAGAATATTGTGACCATAGTACGAACCTTTCTCGAGAAAATGTTGGGTCCATCATCGTCTTTTCCTAAATTCATTAGGTCCATGGTTCAGAAAAATGAAGCCCGCACAGGATATAATTACGCCCTCCTCGGTCACCATACCAACAAACATGGAAACACTGGCTGGCTAGTGTGGACGCAAAACACACCGGAAACTTGTATCCGAAACTGTGTTGACAGGCAATTGGTCGACTGTCTGTCAACTGTCTTTCAACTGTCTGCCGACCGTCTGTCCGCGCACAGTCGGCAGACAGTCGACTGACCATGTGTGGACTAGGCTTAGGGTAAGCTTCAGAACTGAGATCCGTAACAACTTCTAAATGGGCCTTGACAGAAAACGAATAAAGATACAAACGTAAACTTTGATTGGACTGGACTTCCATAATTTGCAAGGTTTAACTGAGAAATTACCTAAAAAGTCCATCCCGCAGTTGTTGAACACTCTTGAGGGTAGGAGAGGAAGATCGTTGTGGAGGAAGATCTCCCATTTTCTGAGTGGTGGTCTTAGGATTGCATTTGAAGCATCGGATGCACTTGTATATACTCTTCTTCGAATAACACTTTGAGAAGATAGGATCCAAATATTCTTAGATATAACGGCTTGTAAAAACTGAGGTCCAGCGTGCAAGTGTTTCAAATGGTAATGATCAACGATGATATTGGTGACATAGTTAGTTTTGGGCAAGACAATAGGATGCTTTGCAGCGTAGGATCGTTGAGAGTGCTTAAGGTGGCCTCCAACATTAATCAATCCATTTTTGTCTAAGAAGGGGGAGAGAGACCCAAGACGGGAAGAACAAGGTTTTCCAGAAAAAGAAAGAAAGAAATACTATAACAAATTATAACGATACTGAAAATTACAGACAGGGTCACTCAATAGAGGTTGCTATTAAAATAAAATACTGTAAGTCACCCACTATCCTGTTAGGTGGGTTAAAAAATATTTTTGATGTAAAAAGTTGCGAATTCTTTGTCAACTATCAATGCTACGAACAGAATATTTCTATCTATTTTGGTTTAAGAAATAATACAGATTTGTTTCAATACTTAATTTACAAACTGTATATTGCATTCGGACATACACATTTAAAAAATTATGATCGGGGTACCAGGTCAAAATTTGTAAGTTTTTAGTGTTAATATATTGACAAGAGGAAACGGATTTATTAATTTATATTATCTAATAAACTCACCAGAAAGATGTTTGTTGCAATTTCTGTCAGCCCCCTAAAACAACATACAATATTTAACTCTTAAGATTAGCTTGTAACTTGAGTTTTAGCTTAAATAGAATAATTTACTCTAGCTATTAAAATGATCAGAACTGCATTGCACACCCACAACTAATGATGCAAAAGCTTGTACTCTTATTGAGTAAGATTTAAAAAAAAGTTATGCATCAGAATCTAAAAAAAATGATGGTAATGAATTTACTAATCTATTCTATTCTATATATAATTCAGTTTTGAAAATCTTTGTACAACTAAATCTAGAGTTGTAGGCCTACTGGACCGATTTTATTAATTAATGGGTGGTTGGAAAGCTTAATTCGTGTAGATTTGCAAATAATTATGAAAGTTTGTCTTTGTTATGATTTATGGTGAAAAATTTCAAAAAAACATGTTTTCCATAAGAAATACATTGAAAACGGTGTTTTTCACACTTTTTATTAACTGTGTACTTAACTCATCTGTTAAGTAGGTTAAAATCGTCTTGTAAGTTTTCACTGCAGTTTTAAAGTTTTATGTCCTGAGAATATAAGGATGTCATCAGTATATGCCGATATATCACAATTGGTTATCCTATTTAGTAGATCATTTAGGTAAATAATTAAAAGTACGAGTATCAGTCCAATTTGGCTCCCTTGAGGCACAATACATTTTATCTCCTTTTCATCGCTAAATTCATTCTTAACTTTCACTACAAATTTTCTGTTTGTAAGTTATCTATTAAGTAATTTCAAGTAGGAGCCCCTCACACCTAGTTTTTGGAGAGCTAAGACTATAAGATATCGAAGGCCTTAGCAAAATCAATAAATAAGCCTAATTTATGGCAGGGTATTTTTAAAAACACTATTTACAGTATTTGAACATTCTTTTAAAGCGTGCTCTGTACTGCAATTCTTTCTAAAGCCAAATTGTTTGCTACTCAAAAAGTTATTGTTTTCTATGTACTGTAAAGGTAGTTTAATAAATATTTCTCAATTATCTTTTTCGAAGGATGGAAAAATTGCTATTTTACTGTAGTTTGGAATTCATTCTTGTTTTTAATCTTATAAATAGGTCTAATTACTGATGTATTTAAACAATCTAGAAAGGTTTCTTGTGAAATTGAGAGTTTAATTAGTTTTGATAGTGGTTCTGATATGTTTTCAACTACTAACTTGATGTCATTCATTCGGATACCCTCAATATCTGGTGATGTTTTTTTTTTTTATACATATATAACATACAACATAATACAATAACATAGTAATGTTATTTTTTTTTAGAGTTGCTTTCGAGTGTAACATTTATTGATGTCGGTGATCCCATCTTTTGAGTTGTTTTTATATGTGTTTTTTCGTAATAGAACATCCCAAACAGGTCTTTGACCTAGGGATGAATTGTTTCATAGTTATAAATAAGTGTGTGAGTTAGTTAATCTAAGTTATTCTTAAGTACTCTGTGTAAAAGCTTGTAAAAAAATATGAAACAATAAAGATTTTCTGATTTCTGATTTCTGATGTTTCAGAAGCCGTACTTTTAATTCTGGCGTTGATTTTTTCTTTTGTAGCAGGTGGTATATATTGGCTTTTTGGGGATTCCCCGTCATATTCTGGCTGTGGTATTAAGGGTCTACTTGCATTACAATATTGTGTTTAATGTTATCCATTCCATTAATAAAATAACAAGCTAAGCCACTCACAATATCTTTTTGGTTTAATATCTTTCCATGGCATTTTTTACCGTATCATCGATACAGTTTTTTTTACTTTCTCCCCCTATACCATAGTATATGGAGAAAGTATTGTTTTCGTCAAAATTTTCGAGTTTGAGTTTTGAGTGGATATATTCGTTTTGGGTCCCCCTGGACCCAAAAAAGTGGTTTTCGAAGTGATGTCTGTGTGTGTGTGTGTGTGTGTGTCTGTGTGTCTGGATGTGTACAGAGCTAGAGCCTACACCTGTGGTCCGATTTCGATGAAATTTTGTATGTAGGTTCTAATCCATGGTATCTCCAGGCGTTTTTTTCATTTTTTTGAAATTTTGATTTTTAATGGGGATTTTCCCATAAAAACCCATAAAAAACCGGAAAAATCGGATTTTTTCAAAAATGGCCCGAACGATTTTGATAAAAATTTAGTATGTTGTAGCCCTTTAAATTCTGAACAAAATGGTACAAATCCCATTTCTGTAAAAATTACGGTTCAAAAGTTATGGTAAATTATGTTATTTTCCCATAAAACCCCATAAAATAACGAAAAATAGGATTTTAGACAAAAATCCGGTTTTGATTTAACATTGTATGTTATGGTCCTTACAATTGTGATAGTTTTTTTCATTTTTTAGAAATTTTTATTTTTAATGGGGATTTTCCCATAAAACCCCATAAAATAACGGAAAAATAGGATTTTCCCAAAAATGGCCTGAACAGTTTTGATAAAAATTTAGTATGTTATAGTCCTTTATATTCTGGAGAAAATTGTACAAATCCCATTTCTGTAAAAATTACAGTTCAAAAGTTATTGTAAATTATGTTATTTTCCCATAAAATAACGGAAAATCAGATTTTTCCAAAATTGGCTCGAACGAATTTGATAAAAATGTAATATGTTATAGTCCTTTAAATACTGAAGAAAATTGTACAAATCCCATTTCCGTATATTTACTCTCACCGCTTACACATGATAAAGGTTGTTGACAAGCTTATGGGAGAAAGTATGTGTCAGAATGCTGATACCGTTTATTTTCTTTCTGCTTAACAGACTGCTTATATTTTCCCATATATTCCTTGTACTTTTACTGTTTTCTACAAATAACGTTTTGTAGTAGTTATTTTTTGTGTTTTTAATTTGGTTACCAAACTTCCATAGCCTAAAAATTATGTCTCTTTCCTTTATCCGGTCTAAAGTCCTATTATCCATCCATTCCTTACGCTTGTTTTCTCTGTGAGTGCTTCACTGCCCAGTGTGCCACCTGAGGTGGTAAATGTAGTGGTTCTGTCTTGATATTTTTTTATACTTTAAGACTAACTCTTCAAAACCTTTACATCGTCATAATTTTTAACATCCCAGTTTTCCTGTTTTAGTTTGCTTTCTAAAAGTGTCTAATTTAATCTGGGGTTTCTACCTGTGTGTCTCTTTTTCCTCCTCCTGTCAAATCTATCTTTGCTACAATTGGGTAAGGACCTGAAATAATTTGTTTTTATTGAGTCTGTATGTATTTTTTCTAAGGGGTTTCTGAATCTGTAATAAATATGGTCTATGCATTGTATATTTAGCCTTATATCCTCTCTATTATTGTCTCAGATACCTCAATCTAGACCCCATGACATCAGCATAGTCTCATATTCTTAAACGTACACATTGGTTTTATTATTTAAATTTATATTTAGATCCCCAAATAGTATACAGTTTTAGCGAATTTCCCATGTAGGGAATAAGCTATTACCGTAGTACTCATGGTAAGACCTGGACCCGGGATTTACTTTTTCCTTTTAAGTCCCTAATGGACAAAAACAACATCCGTTCAAATTCATATGTATACATATATATGTGCGGGTGTCCGTTAGCACGATAACTCTAACAAAAATGAACTGATTTAGATGAAATTTGGTATAAACGTGTAAACCTAAATTTATTTGAACGAGTTTGAGAACAAGCTTGAACGGACTATGGGAACGGGTGTTTATGGGGTGTTTTATGTTTTTTTATTATGTGTGTATTATCAAAAAACATAAAATTTAGCAATTTCTTTCCAAACCATTTTATAGAGCTTAAAAAACAAATAATTTAGTATATTGAATCGTTATTACACGCCTAATGGTTGCGGAGAAAAAAAAATATTTTAAAATTCTCATGTTATTCTTATGGAGAATAAGTATAACAATTTTGTAAACTGTTGTAGTTTGCTAGTTTATGGACATATTTTGATCACATTTGGAAAATGCATAATTTTCTTATAGCCCAGGCAAATTAGACATATGCTCCCCAAAAAATCGTCTAAAGCTGGAAAGTGTTTTAATACCTTTTAGGGGTCCCAAATAAGACTCCTGTGAGTTTGCGACGGGTTCTGACGTCTGCTTAAGTTTTGGGAGTTGAAAAACTATGAAAATTTTGCACTTTTTTCAGATTTTTGCTTATAACTCCTAAATAACGAATCCTAAGGAAAATGTTGTTCAAAGGTGTCTTTTAGTGCATCAAATTCCGCGTCGATTGATGTTAAATATGTCAAAATCAGCCGAGCCGTTTAGCCGCTGTGGCTTTTCAAAGTTGGGATATTTGCATCAACATGGCTAAAAGGTTAATTATTTGACCAGTTTTCGGCTTACAAATCCTAAACAACGCATGCTATACAAGAATGCACTTGTAGTTAGTTTGGAAAACACAAAATTCTGCGTATAATGTTTTTTTTATTAATCAATAATGGCAATTGATTGTTACCTACTTTGTATGGTCGCCATTTCATTGAAAAAAGTATTAAAGTTAAAGTTGGGAAATTTTACTAAAATTGGTAACATCATAGATAGTGTCCTTAAATGGATTATGAATTATTAGATAGTGGTTTATTCCATGATGGTCATCCAGAGGTTTATTTAATAAGGTGTGATGAGAGTAAGACCTCCTATGTAATTTTAAGTCTAATATTGTTGTCTGAGGTTCCGAAAATTCTAGGATTCATCCCAACCACCCATTATATACTATCTATCCCTGTATTCGTCTTTCAGTTTTTGGCTTACATCTTCTAACGCATGCTATAGAAAAAATGTTCCTGTAGTTAGTTTGAAGAGCATACACGTCTGCGTAGAATGTTTTCAAATTTATTAAGATCGGCTTCACCATTTAACCGCTATTGATTGTTAACACTAGATCAGATGCTTATCAAGTTTCCGAAGTTTAAAATCTTACCATTGAAATCTGGCAAACAACCAGCCTAATTACCAAAAACATAGGGGATATGGCAGTCAATCTATCCACTAGTGTGACGTCATGGATCGTGCAGCATGGCCTATGAACAAGTAAGTGTTCA